TCACTTTTACAGACATCCTTTCTAGCAGGTGCAGGACTCTCATAAAAAAATTTAAATGTACAGAAGTTAAAATCTTCACTTTTACAGACATCCTTTCTAGCAGGTGCAGGACTCTCATAAAAAAATTTAAATGTACAGAAGTTAAAATCTTCACTTTTACAGACATCCTTTCTAGCAGGTGCAGGACTCTCATAAAAAATGTAAAAAAACAGTTAAAACAAGATTAATTTGCATAAAAGATTTTTTGGGAATGTATAGTAATAAATATTCTATATCTAAACCCCTTTATAATAGGTGCAGCATTTCAGAATATATATATCCCTTTTGAGTCAGTAAAATGTGCTTTAGGGAAGTGTGTGTGTGCGCATTACTTGCTGGTTGCCCATGAATATTTGTATCAAGTTAAAGGTGCTTTAGGGGGAAGTGTGTGTGTGCGTGCATTACTTGCTGGTTGCCCATGAATATTTGTATCAAGTTAAAGGTGCTTTAGGGAAGCACACACACACACACCTTTAACTTGATACAAATATTCATGGGCAACCAGCAAGTAATGCTTCCCCCTAAAGGTTGCATATATTTTTCAAGAGAAATGGAATTGGCTATTTTTAATTCCAGGATAAAAAGGTTTTTCAAAAAAATTTAATTCTCTACATTATTTGGCACAAAACCAGCAATATGAGAGCAAAACACAAAGTTGTTCACCATGCATGTAAAAATCTACACATCTTTTTTTTTGTATTTTTTCTATCCACGTTCTCCTGCCTTTTTTTACTTCATTCTCTTACCTTATCCACTTCATTCAGTAACATTACTCAATAAAACATACCTCAAGTAAATATAAAGTAATTAAACCTTAATAACAAAATTATTATTGCACAGATTTGTTAAAAATCTTACCAGAATTTAATGTTATTGGAACAGGTTACATATATAAAACTGAATAATACAGAAATTTCAAAGGACTTTATTGTCTATACAACCACTTCACGAAGAAATAAATTATCCTTTTATTTTAAAAAAATAAAAAAAATTTCAGAATTCTGTTTACTTAAATTTATACAACTTTATAACATAATTATTCTAGAGTTTATATTTTCAGAATAGAAATCCATAAAAATGTATTGTTAAGAATGATATATGTTATACATATATATAATCAAATTATTTAGTTTAATCCCTCTTACAACAGATATAAATAGCACTACTTCAAGACAGATCTCCAACTTTCTGGATTATTTCCTTATTATCTCATAACTATGGTCTTTCGTCACGAGTTCCTTAATTTATACTAGACATATTCTTACACGTAACAGAGTATTAAAGGAAAAATCCTGACCAGGAAAGTAAAAAAAAAAAACTTCAATCGAGAAGAATAAATTACTTACATAAACATGATTTTCAGACAATTTATTATACATCAAGAATAGAAACTTTAAACATCATTAACCATTTTTTTTTTATATTACAGTTTTCATAAACACCAAGGCAGTATTGAAACGTACTATGAGTTATATGCTGTAAAAACAGTCAATCTAAACAACTCTGCGTTTCATCTTTTACAGCATGTTGGTTATCCTTCTTCAAATAGTTGAAGTCAAAGTCTGTAACAGATGTCAGTAACTGCTGATGTTGTTGCTCGAAGGCACTCAGCATGCTGTTCAACCTGCGTGGAAAATATTTGAAGTATAAAAACATAAGAAGAGGACGAATAACTTGCTTAATACACAGGAGACTCAAAGATATGCGACTACGTAACTGATTCTTAAAACAAGTAATATGTTTAAGGGATAACAAAAGAATGACATTAGAAAAACAACAGATTAAATTTATATTACTATATGCCAAATAAATAAGACAAGAAATTACAAATTTATATACAGGGTGTCCATAAAGTCTGGAGACATAAGGAAATGTCCTTACTTTTTATTTATAATACGTATTTTGACCTACTATGAAAACAGTATATTCGAGACAATTATAGACAATTTTTCAATGGTTACTTATAATATTATAGTATCAAATAAACAACTTAAAGGAGACATATTTACACAATTAAAAGTTTATCGAATGGCTTCCACTTTAAAACTTTGTACATGTTATACTTTTATCCATTCCGTCTTCATGAGTTATTTATGTTGTATATTAATTATAATCATTACACGAGTGCTGATCATTCATAGTTATTTTACAGTTTGTTAGTCATGTCTTGAAAGAATTAGACTTTGCCAACAAATGTCAGTCATGTAAATAGCTAATTACATTTCACACGTGTCAGTCATGTGGATGGCTAATCACATTTTATTCAAGTGTCAGTCATGTGGATGGTTAATCACTTTTCACTCATGTGTCAGTTATGGATAGCTAATCACATCTTATTCACGTGGATGACTAATTATATTTTACAGATGTGTCATTCATGTGGATGGTTAATCACATTTTACAGATGTGTCATTCATGTGGATGACTAATTACATTTTACAGATGTGTCATTCATGTGGATGACTAATTACATTTTACAGATGTGTCATTCATGTGGATGACTAATTACATTTTACAGATGTGTCATTCATGTGGATGACTAATTACATTTTACAGATGTGTCATTCATGTGGATGACTAATCATTTTACAGATGTGTCATTCCATGTGGATGGTTAATTACATTTTACAGATGTGTCATTCATGTGGATGACTAATTACATTTTACAGATGTGTCATTCATGTGGATGACTAATTACATTTTACAGATGTGTCAGTCATGTGGATGGTTAATTACATTTTACAGATGTGTCATTCATGTGGATGGTTAATCCTTTCCGGGGAAAGCCACTGATATCCCTTGATGTTTTCCTCATCACAATGGGAAAACTGAACTGAATTGTATGACACTTAACATAAACTATCTAAGTAGTATCTAGATTTTGGGCAAAACAAATTTTTAATTTGATTAAGTTCTTCTATTCTTTTTCATGTTATGAAATTACCAAAATTTTGTCAAAAAAACATCGAAAATGCCCTTTTCTTCATAGAGTTTAAATTTTGATCAGAAAGTTCCGTTTTAAATATCCAGTTAATTTCAACTTGATTTATTTTCATTAACATATTCCTCTTGAAACTTTATTTTAACTACTTCTGGCTATAATGTGACCTCAGTAAAAAAAGTGACAGTCACTGCCTGGTGAATTAGCCTACCAACAACACACAAGTCTTTGTGAATTAGGTTTTACACAAAGGCAATTATGAATTTGATATTTTTACAAAAGATGACAACTGTGTGACTGGAGAAAAGAATAAAAGAGTTTGCCCATCAGAGTGTAGACTCGGAAAGTTTTGCCTAGCTGAAATGTTAATGCATTAAATTTTTACACGAGACTTAATTATAACGTAAATCATCCACAGTTGGTACAACGACACACATCCTTGGTGGCCTTTCGGTATTGTATTTTCTCTTGCCGTAATGATAATCACATTATCGGCACTGACCAAAACAAATACAACCTATCGTACTTACTTATTGTAGCAAGCTTGGTTTTCATTTTTCAATATTTTACTTTGCTCAGAATTCACTGCCAGTATGGTACCAAGGGAATGACTTGCTAAAGAACTCACTGGCACGCTTTTCTCAGACATCTGTGAGGCGCATGCCTGGGAAATACTAGTCTCACTTCCCTTGGTCAAATGGTCAGCTTTGTCCATATCCTCTTCATAGCTGGGGAGCAGAGATTGGTCAACCGATGGAATACTTTTGGTAGCTAAAGAATTGCTCTCGGATGTTACGGGAGAATAATCAGACTGGAATGATGTGTTGTTGTTTGGCTCAATGCTCTCTTTAACGTCAAATTTAACGCATCGTAATTGATGTGCCTGAAAATAGTTAATAATATTCAAAAATGCACCTTGTAAAATACTAAAATTAAAATTAATTTTCATTGAAAGCATATTATTTGGTTTTTACAATAAAAATCTTGACTGTAAAAGTACAAAAATGTATCAGGCTTTCGAATGAAATGTACTTAAAATAGGTAACTTACTGATCAAATCAGGCTTTCGAATGAAATGTACTTAAAATAGTTAACTTACTGATCAAATCAGGCTTTCGAATGAAATGTACTTAAAATAGTTAACTTACTGATCAAAATTTACTTGTTATAAGTTCTACAACTGCTTTACACTGATGCAGAAATTTGATTTCTGATCCACAAGGAATCTTTCTGGATTCAGCAAAGTTATGTCATAAACATGCTGTCTCTGACACACACAATCATATAATCTAAACTTATGTTTTCTTAAACTTCAACCAATGATCTTTTTTCTTTTTTTGCTATTCATTCACGAACACCATCTATCAGCCAAACTTGTAACAAATAATTAAAAAAAATAATCATTAATTATTAAAAATCATAAAATTCAACAATATATCTGTCGATATTTATAACAAGAATTCCTTTGATTTATGATAACTTGCAACAATACTACACAATAATGTTCACATACCTTCTTGCTACAATGAGCTAAAAAGGTTATTAAAGTCTCAAAATATGAAATATTCTAGTAATTTAGACCTGATGTAGATGTGATGTGTACATTCCAAACAACTGTAATCATAGTACACATTTTATCGAACAAGACAGATGATAGTAAGATAAGTTTAACAGCTAGCTGTGTAAATATGAGGGTCAGACATGGCCTAATGATTAGTGTAACAGGCTGTTGATTCAAAGGTTCAATCCAGAAATCCTTTAAGCTGTGGGTTCATTATAAAAGCAACAGTCAATCTCACTATTCAGTTAAAAATAGTAGATGTGGAAGCTTACCTTCCACCTGGGCAGCAGTTCTAAATTTAGGGACGACCATGCCCGAACCTTGGATTCTCAGACCTATTTGTTTAGCCCACTTACTGTCATTAGAATTGGCTAATCACTGATGCCATAAAGTGAAATCAGCCAGTTTTCAATGATTTAGTTCAGTGGTGGGTATTTTCACACCAAGGTAGATGAAACAGAATTGACTAATCACTGATGCCATAAAGTGAGATCGGCCAGTTTTTAATGATTTAGTTCAGTGGTGGGTATTTTCACACCAAGGTAGATGAAATAGAATTGGCTAATCACTAATTCCATAAAGTGAAATCGGCCAGTTTTTAATGATTTAGTTCACTGGTGGGTATTTTCACACCAAGGTAGATGAAATAGAATTGACTAATCACTGATGCCATAAAGTGAAATCAGCCAGTTTTCAATGATTTAGTTCAGTGGTGGGTATTTTCACACCAAGGTAGATGAAACAGAATTGACTAATCACTGATGCCATAAAGTGAAATCAGCCAGTTTTCAATGATTTAGTTCAGTGGTGGGTATTTTCACACCAAGGCAAGCAATGCTGCAGTATGCTTGATGAAAGTATGGTGATGGGCAATGATACATTAACTGAACATTAACATGGATGTTATCTAAACTATGTCATTTTTAAATATCAGATTTATCAATATTATAGCAGATGAATTATCCAATATGATCAAACATCAGCTGATAACAGATGTAACCTATCAATATCATACATCTCCAACAATCAGCTATATAAAATTGATTCATCTGTGGTATTTCCATGTGAAGAAAACGTCTCGAGACACGTTTAAAAAAAATTAGGGCACCACTTTTATCTGTAGCCTACAGGTTAGTGTTATACTGAATTGTTCAACAACAAACAAAATTAATTTCCTTAAGCCTTATTACATCCTTTATATTTCCACTGGTATAGAAAGTACATGTTCACATAAAATACAGGATGCTATAAATCTATATAATACTTTATTTTTCTCTAACTACGCAAGCAATTTTCCAGAAGTGTACTTATCCAGCATTGAAGTTGTTCTTAGATGTCCAAAGGTAATTTTTATGCATTATCTATTTTACATTTTGAGTGAAACATTATTATTTGACACCTTGAGTTAAGCAATATTTATTTTACACCTTGAGTTAAACAGAAGAGGAGAAGAGTCAGAGGGGATTTGATTGAAGTGTTTAAGGTTATTAAGGGTATTGATAAAACAGATCCATCAAACATTTTTGTGTTTAGCAGTGAAAACAATAGAACAAGGAGTCATAAGTTCAAATTTTGGCAGTGTAGGAGTCGTCTGCAGTTTAGACAATATTACTTTTCAAACAGGGTGGTTGGCTTTTGGAATGATCTGCCTTCAAGGGTGGTGGAGGCAGAAAATTTAACTGAGTTCAAGAAAAGATTGGATGAATACATGAGTAGTAAGAGGTGGTTATAGTTGGGTGCTGGAAGGGATATTATTGATAGGCTAATAAGCTCATTTTTGTCCCTTTTAAGAATACAAAATTTCTACTGAAAGAGTTAAGGCTTAATTTAGCTATTTCACTTTGAAAGTAAACAATGTTTTAAGATTAAGATAACCTATTAAATATCTGATTGAAATGCACTTGTTATGCCAGCCCGTGAAAGAAATCGACATGAAATAAAAATAATCTGAATTAAATCATCTTTTACCAGTAATAATAAATATACAGTGGCAAATATGAGTAAAAACGGTTCTGGTGAATGAAGAGCACGATTTATCATCTTACCAAAGTTTTAATGGTTTTCCATAATTCCAACTGATGACTAGCTTGTAAATCTGTAATCTTCTTATGAAATTCTCGAAGGCTACACTGTGCATCATCCAATTCAGGTTCTATCAATTCAACATCTTTTTTGGCATCATTTAACTTCCTACAAGAAAAATACATCAACTACATTTCAAAACTGTTCAAAGTGATAAATTAGAAAAAAAAAGCTGTCAAATATAGACAAGGAAATATCTTTTTAAATAAAGCCAACGTTGCTAACATTTAAAGTGTATAACTTCACAACAATCAACATCATTTTCATTCTAACTTTTTAACCAAGTTTTATTTTTTCTAAAGCACACATTAGACATTGAAATATTCATACAAGATTAAAGTAATTACTTCACACTAACGTCTTTGTACATTAAATATAACTAACCCTGTTCTCAGTTTTGCTTTTACATCTAAACATTCCTTCAAAACTTCATACAAGATTAAATCAAAGGCTTAATTCTTGAGCAAATTGAAATTTAAATCTTAATTTTATAAGAGAAGTACAACAATTCATAGGTTCAGTACGTAGTGGACCAGTTCCACTACGTAAGGAATGGTGTATAGTAACTATTCGGGAATGGTGTATAGTAACTATTCGACTGGTCCACTAAGTAAGGAATGGTGTACAGTAACTATTTGGCTAGTTAGTCCACTACGTAATGAACGGTGTACAGTAACTATTTGGCTAGTTAGTCCACTACGTAAGGAATGGTGTATAGTAACTATTCGACTGGGGTTAGTCCCCTACGTAATGAACGGTGTACAGTAACTATTTGGCTAGTTAGTCCACTACGTAAAGCCGAATAGTTACTGTACACCGTTCCTTACGTAGTGGACTAACTAGCCAAATAGTTACTGTACACCGTTCATTACGTAGTGGACTAACCAGTCGAATAGTTACTGTACACCATTCCTTAAGTAGTGGACTAACTAGCCAAATAGTTACTGTACACCGTTCATTACGTAGTGGACTAACTAGCCAAATAGTTACTGTACACCGTTCATTACGTACTGGACTAACTAGCCAAATAGTTACTATACACCATTCCTTACGTAGTGGACTAACTAGCCAAATAGTTACTGTACACCGTTCATTACGTACTGGACTAACCGGTGTACAGTAACTGTTCGTCTAGTTACTCCACTACGTAAGGAACAGTGTACAGTAACTATTCGACTGGTTAGTCCACTACGTAAGGAACGGTGTACAGTAACTATTCGGCTAGTTAGTCCAGTACGTAATGAACGGTGTACAGTAACTATTTGGCTAGTTAGTCCACTACGTAAGGAATGGTGTACAGTAACTATTCAACTGGTTAGTCCACTACGTAATGAATGGTGTACAGTAACTATTTGGCTATTCCTTACGTGGTGGAGTAACCAGTCGAATAGTTACTGTACACCGTTCCTTACGTAGTGGACTAACTAGCCAAATAGGTCCACTACGTAATGAACGGTGTACAGTAAGAATAGTTACTGTACACCGTTCATTACGTAGTGGACTAACTAGCCAAATAGTTACTGTACACCAAAGATAGTGTGATTGATTTTCTTAAAAGGTTATCTTTATAATAACTGAAATGATCAACAAAGATTTTGTCAATACAATATTTTATTGATTCTGATCATTACCAGTATTCTCAACTTAATTATAAGTATGACCAAAACTGTTTACAGACACAGTATGACATCATACTACAACTTTTCAGTTGATTTGTTTCATTGCTCATAACTTCTTCTGAAACTTTATACACAATGATAACTACCTCATGTCTGGTAACTAATAGACAACTAAATCGATTAATTATGAAACTAACAAAGTTTTAAATAATAATCAGCAAGATGTCAAACACAAGAAGTACAAGCACTCTTGAACACTTTAACTTCATAAGTTCATTCGAGCACCCTGAATAGTCATGTATAAAGGAGGAATTACACCACGAATCTTATGATTACATCACTAGTTATGTAGTATAGATAAAGGAGGAATTACACCACAAATCTTATGATTACATCGCTAGTTATGTAGTATAGATAAAGGAGGAATTACACCACGAATCTTATGATTACATCGCTAGTCATGTAGTATAAATAAAGGAGGAATTACACCACAAATCTTATGATTACATCACTAGTTATGTAGTATAGATAAAGGAGGAATTACACCACGAATCTTATGATTACATCGCTAGTCATGTAGTATAAATAAAGGAGGAATTACACCACAAATCTTATGATTACATCGCTAGTCATGTAGTATAAATAAAGGAGGAATTACACCACAAATCTTATGATTACATCACTAGTCATGTAGTATAAATAAAGGAGGAATTACACCACGAATCTTATGATTACATCGCTAGTCATGTAGTATAAATAAAGGAAGGAAATACACCACGAATCTTATGATTACATCGCTAGTCATGTAGTATAAATAAAGGAGGAATTACACCACGAATCTTATGATTACATCGCTAGTCATGTACTATAAATAAAGGAGGAATTACACCACATATCTTGTGATTACATCACTAAGAAATACCATTTATGACCCTGTCAAACTAAATATCAAAGTTTATTTGTCAGAACAGATATTTTTATGAAAAGAAGGCACAAGTGGATGTCATATGTTTCTAGTCTTAATTAAGGGACATATTTATAAAACAGAAACCACTATTTTATTATCAACTCACCAATCCAACTCTGTAATTAGTATGATGAGATTATTCTTGATACATGGCAGTTACAGGTACACACAGGCTGCGAAGGAACTCCTAACAATGTGGCTCAGTTATAACCAATCTCTAAATACAATGAGGTTCCAACTGTAATATTTATTGTTTATCTATTATTGGCTGGTAAT